AAATCTTGAGTGGCATATGCTTAGTTTATGCACGATGTGAACGAGGTGATGATGCCGAAGGATCGACGCACGGTGAGCATAGATACGGGCAACGAGACCTCCTATTTGCTGAAGGTGCTGCTCAGCTCGATATCGGCAGAGGACGAAGTGCGCAATGTGCCCGTCGCCTATCGCAAGTGTCGCTACATCGAGGAGAACAATCTCAAGTACTATAGTGTAAGAGACCAAAACTGAAGAAAATCCTGTGATATATTATAAAATCGATTTTATGACCCATCAATGGGTAGCCCTATCATCCCAGTCTGTGTCGTCTGGAGTGCCGCATCAATGTGGCGCTGGATCTGTGCAAATGCAAGCCCTTCTTCTATGCCGCCGGACCCAAAAAGGCTATCTGCTCTGTGAAGGGAATGCTGTGCCTGGCGCGCAGCAATTGGCTGGAAAGGACCTGCGACTGCCTGCCCCTATGCAAGGAGAACAGCTTCATTGTGGCCGAGGAGCTCGGCCAGAGTGGGGTAAGTTTGTAGCATAGAGTATGTCAATGATCCCTAGAAAAGTTCTCCTTACTTTTAGGGCGGCACTCAATATGCTGGCGCGAACTTCGAGCGCACCATCATCATTCAGCAGGAATCGCCCAAGATGGGCATGAAGCGACGCGTTGTATTCAGCACGGATCAGCTGATCATGTCGTTTGGGGGCGCCATTGGCCTGTTTCTGGGCGCCAGCTTTATGACTATCTATGGAATAACCTATGTAATTCTCTACTATCTGGTTGTCAAGTGCAAACGACGACCGAAACTACAGCAAGACAAAACCGCGCCCATCAAAATTGCCTAGGCAAAAGTGTTGCTGGGAAATGCTACAGCTTTTCATCATTTGGTTTTTATTAAAGCAAAAAAAAAACATATATTTTCTCGACATTAATGGGCCTAATGTGCATGTGTGTATGTGTGTGTGTAACAATAAAAACCTTAAGACGCACTCGACAGCAATTGTTATGCCCAAAAGAGCTGAGAGAGGGTCGGCAAGAAAAGGAAGCCAGAAAAGTGCCAACGGGCAAAGAAAGCGTCGCTTTAAGCGAATTTCACTTTTGCGGCAAGCAAAAGAAAAATGATGAACTTGCAGATGCCCTGTGAATGGTCTACCTATATATACCTATACATATGTCTATATAGAGAAGCTATTTTCCTAACTGACAGACTGAAGTGTCACCCAATCCATGAGAGCCTTAAGATTAAAATCTTAACTGAACCTTTCCGAAACATTAGGAAAGGCTTGTAGAGAATTCAATCCACAAGTAAATGGTATAGGTTTTACTTTGGATGAATAGCATCAACAAGGCAGCCACATTCTGAAATTAGGTGTTTGAGCGTCGAACTAGCAAACGAGAGGTCGCCGGTTCAAATATGATAGCACTTCAAGCTAATGCATAGACGGGAGCGACTTTTTCAAACTAACGCAAATAACACATTCTAATTTCTTCTAATATGAGAAATATGGAAATGTAGAAGTAAGAGTAGGCAATCAATTATCATTGTTATATTATATCAAACTCAAATAAGATAAGGGCTTTATATTTACTTGAAGTATGCCATTTCTTATAATAAGTATATTTAGGTGAATCAAAGATAAACCAATATCCCAGATCATAGTAGAATTAATCTGCATAAGCTAGGTAATTTACCTAATAAGATCCTTAACATGCCTTCGTCTGTTACATATATAGCCAAGGGTATTTTATGCCCATTGCAGCGATTTCGTTTGCCACAGGGTATAGTTATTATGGACGCCTTGCGGCTGAAATTGCGCATTTAGAGCTCTATTGTGTTACACATTCAGCGAGTGTCATCCAAATGCGACAATTTGACTAACTGAGCGACTGACAGAATGACAGATTCACGGATTTCCACTCAGCGTAAGTTGCTGTTGGCAGTCAGCCGTGCGAGACGCGCCGTAAGAGTGAACAACCTTTTAAAGAGCACCACTTGCTTAAAATTAAAAAAAAAAAAAAAAAAAGCAACAGCAACAATGTGGAATAGCTGGGCAGCTGGTAAACTTTGGACTCGGACTGTGACTTTGCAATCTAATTGAAATTAGCCGCATTTAATTGCAGCTAGTTGCGAATGCCGTTAGTAGATATTTTATTTAATATTTAACGAATTCGTATTCGTATTCGTATACGTGCACTTCCAGACGCTCTCGCATCGGGGGCATAAATTTGTTCTGGTCTGCTGGCATTTAAGATCTTTGCTAAATATATATGCACACACATGTATATGCACAGACACTAAACTAAAGCGGGCGAAGGCAAACGCAGCGAAGCAATTAAGCAACAGCAACAACAACAGCTAAATACTAATTTTAGTCACTAGGAAATTGGAATTGAAGTTAAGTTTAGACGGTTTAGTTAGCCACGTCTGTTCAAAGATGCCCAGCAAACACCTAGAGCTGACATTTGCATTGGCATTTCAGCCCAAACCGAAGGCCTCAATCTCTTACCGGCTAGACAACAACAAGTAGTAGGAGTGCTCTAGCATGTGGCTACACTGTGAAAAATTGTATTCTTCAATCAATTTTCTATGTATTATCCAATCGTAATGAACATTTTAAGGCTACAAGATTATATTCTAATGTGTGCATATGCCAAAACCTTTAACCAGGGCTGTAACCCACATTTAAAGAGAGTTAGAGAAGGGTTTAAAAAATAATATATGCTTGCTTTATACTATACAAAAACATGTCTTTGTCTTTAACTCAGACAATTCTAACAAGTCTAAGGTTTTAAATCGACATCGCTTGGGATTATCGATAAAAAAATGTCGATAAAATCGAACATGGCTAGTTCGGACGAAAGTATTATAGACTGATTCCACTATACTTCAAAATGTTACATTTTCACACTTCACATTTCATTGGCAAATTGGATTAACCAAAGATTAACCAAACCTCAAAGCTGGCTCCATTGCGAGATTTGGTCATCTTTAAAATGTTGACAGTGCACTTGCCTGTTACATACATTAGCACAGCTGCCATATACACTCTTCTACACATTTTCTATGGGTACAGGGTATTAAGTTTGCCAGACAATTGCCAAGTAACGAAGCGCAGCAGCAGCAGCAGCAGCAGCTGTGGCTAAGCACACAAAAACACACACAACATTAGATGCTGCACATGCTTCAAGGCATGTTTCTGCTCTAATTCGCACTCGGGCCAATCAGCAACAACTGGCTGGAAAACAGCTAAAACCTAGCTAGCGTACAACGAACTTCTGCACAATTGCGTGGCCACATTTCCAAAAATTTCATAAATACAAAATGCAACCGCCCGCATCCACAATTCCTGACAGCTGTCTGCGCCTCGGCCTGTATCTGTATCTGTATCTGTGTGTGTATCTCTACCTGTGCCCGTGCCCGGGTATGTTCCAAGGTGGCACGCTCAGAGGCCGGCATTATAAATAGCAAGAGGCGGCGCACTTTTATCTTTTGCCACCGGAGTTTAACTTTTTTCTCTTATTTTTATTTTATAGCCAGGCGAAGCAGCTGACAAGGCGTCGAAATGTACAAAATGTACAACACCTGTCGACGGGCCAAGTCGGAAATGGGCTAAAATGGCGGAAGCTGCGGCCAGCACATGGAAATTTTTCTTCAGCCCCAAAAATAGAAACGAAAGCAAACACCAAATATACACTAAGCACAGGTATTAACTTATGCACAGCCATAAATTAGTCATGATCTGTGCATCTCGAGAGGATTAGGCTGCCAACAGAGCTTAGGCTGGATGAGAGCCCACTTGGATTTGGGCCAAAGCCAAACTGGCGCCAATGCATTAAACATGAATATGAACATGAAGGGCCAGAACTAGTTTGAAGAACTTTTAATTGGCAAAACGATTAATGGAATATGTATATAATACATATGTATATACTTGTATTGCGTTAATTGAAAGCTCGGATAATAGCCCAACATTTATGTATTTATGTCTGAAGGCAGTTGAACGCGTATGGCGTCATGATTGCTATAAATTATTGATACACTGCAATTAAATACTTAGATGCACTGTGCTCAACTTGCGAAATACCCTGTTTGATGAGCATAATTCTGGCTGGTGTTAAAGAAATAGAAGCGTATCTTATTGAATGTTCTTAAACAATATTTTCACTTAGCGCCCAAGTTTAGAACACAATATATTTCCTATAACTTCTAGCTTTTAATTATCCATATGCCCATTAGAGCTTGATTTGTAGAGTATTAAAATCAATTAATGATAAAAGCAAACGTATCTAATTTTTTTTTTTATTGAATTGAAATGTGCCTTTTCGCTTAGATTAATTGGAACATTTTTGGCACAGAACAAGCGAGCGAGAGGCAGCAGAAAAAATCAATTAGACAATTTCTGAAATATATTTATGTGCGAAGCCTTGAGTCTTGCATGTTATATATCTTTTATCGCAACAGTTTTCGCATCGGTAACAAACCCAAATTGTTTATCTAAAAACTTTTGTTTATTTTTGCACACACACACACACACACACACACACATTCTTAACATTGCTCTGACCTTGGCTTTAATTATTTCTGCTGGGGTTTTTGTTTACTTTGTTAGAGCAGAAAACCCAGCATGGGAGTTCTTGACACACTCAAACTCAGACAATGCGTCGTCGCGGAGCGATTTTTCAATTGCAGCGAAAATGACCTTTTGGTGTGATTTACGTTTTCTTTTTTTTGTTATTCGATAGGTCTCAAGCAACGAGACACAGCTGCGACAACTGTCGCAATTGCATGCGATTTTGACACGTGTCTTGTTGCATTTCTATAAAATAAAACCAGAACGAAACGTTTAATTTCACTGGAACTGGAACTAGAACTGGAACTGACGCTGGAAAAGCCAGCAGCCAGCTCTTCGTGAGTAAACTTAGCTAACATTTCCGCTAATTGTATTTCCAGCTAATAGTTTTTAACTTCCGTAAAATAAGCGACAAATTCAATAAATTATCAATCACTTACCTTCATGTCATTTATGATCTGTTGGAACAAACTGCCCAGCGCAGAGCTGTCGCGTTCAAGACTGAGATCCATTTCCGTTTTTGTCTTCGTCTCCGGATTATTTGCGGGTCCTATTTCAAACTAAATGTGTCAATGCAAATCGATCGAATTCGTTTTCGTTAGCTTTTGAGTTCGCGCAGCGTTTTTTTTTTTTTTTTTTTTTTTTTTTTTTTTTTTTTTTTAGGTTTTTTTAACTTTGCGGATTGCTTTGCTTTTCACTTCTCGATGGCCGGCAAGACCAAGAAAATGAATTTCTCTCTTAGCTTATTATTTTTGCGTTTTATCGACATTTTTTTTTCGGTTCACATTCGGCTCACTTCCAACCAGAGCTTTGGCAGCGCCTGTAAAGAAGTGTTTAGGTGGGTTTTATTAAGGAATATATGGAAGAAAATAAATAAAGTTCTCTTTTAAATAGAACCTTTCATTACAGATGAGAATTATACCATCCCATCTGCTTATCTATTGATAAAGAGGTCTTCAACTAGTTACTAAAAGTTACTGTCTCATAGAACTAAACCATCTACTCTTATATTCCTTTATTCCATTAAAGCCCTCAGACCCAACCTTATTATCAGCATCTCGTGAATGAATCATGCACGAGCGCAGTCGCCACACTTCCGACTTGTGCTGAGCAACTCAATATATATATCTATATTTATATATATATATATGAATGCATATGTGCCATATGTGGCATAAAAACTCATGTGCCACATGCAACACGATGTAACATAAATTTTCGAAATTTGTCTTGGGCGATGTAATAATGTGCTCGTAAATAATATAATGAAAACTAGCGCATATTTCAAAACAAAATTATTATGCTTAATTATGCTTATTAATAAGCTTTTTCTAGCGCCTTATACGTAGGGAGCGAGAGACGGGCAGGGGGGTGAATGTAGCTTGTGGTTTTGTTTTTTTTGGGCAATGCGTAGGCGCAATAGAAATAGCTGGCACTTATTTATAAATCGACGCGGCAAGATCGGAGGGGCACCATGGGTGGGGAGGGGGGGGGGGGGGGGGGGGGGGGGGGGGCGCGTAATGAAAGCCCTGCAATGTGACCCAAATAATGATATCAGCGAGTTGTGATTTATATGTTATGTGCGTGGCCCGACAAGTGCTTCGAAGAGCTTTAATCATTGCAGGCTAATTGCGTTAATGCAATTGCTAATTGTTAATTGATATGTCAGCGAGCAAGTGTGTGTGTGTGTGTGTGTGTGTACAGCCAAAGTCAGCGGACAGGAAGCGGCGCAGCAACGTCTTGTTTTGCAGTTTATGAGTTACGAGTTGGGGAGTTACGAGCTATGAGCATATAAATAAAGCCATTAGCAACTCGTTGGTTTGGTGCAACACGAGTTGACCCATTTGAATGTTTCCCCATTTTCCAATTTCCATTCGAACGCTGTACGTGCCAGCACAGTTCTTCAGTTTGGCGTTTCGAAAGCAGCCTACTCAAATTCATGGATAACCAAATGAACTGAAGCCGAAGCCGAAACCCAAAGCCAAGCCTTGAGCGCAACACAAGACATTTTAGTTATAAGTCTTATTGCTTTTGAGGGAAAAGGTTTCCAAGCTAGCAAATTAGCAGACACTGTGAATACCCTTATATGACGATACCCTTTTTTTTTTTTGGCTAATAGTGCAACATTTACGAATTGCTTATTAATTATTTAAATAGTTAGCAAAGCTAGCAAGCAAATTGTGTCTATGAGTCATTACTCTGGCTAATAAAAGGCTTCTTTCTTCATAGCTTTTAATATCTTTGACAATTTTCCAGCTAATAACATGACTATAAATCCAATTCCAAACTTTATAGATTCAGGAATAGTTGACTATTTGGCAGCCACATTGATTTTGCACAGATAACAATATATTATCTTGTTTGGCTAATGATTCAATATTTTTAGTATTTGTATTAGTTGGGCAAAAAGTTATTTCCGCACTTGCGGAAATTGCAAGTCGGCGGACAGCAGCAGCGCGCACAGCGACAACAACAACAACAACTGGAAGAGGAACAACAACAACAGCAACAAGAACAACTTTGCCGCCATTGCGAGTGTTTGTGTTAGCAACAACTTTATCTTGAGAGGTCATTTACACTGCCCAAGCGACGCGCTGGCTGTGGCAGCAGCTGCGCGTTTTCTTCAACTTGTTCTCAATGCTTTTCACTGCGCTTTTCCAAGCACACACACTCGCACACACACACACACACACACAGAGAGAGTCACGTTCTCCAGGCAATCTCAACAGCTTTTGTTGTTGGCACTCTTCCACTTTTCTTCCTCTTTTTATTTACGTTGTTGTTGTCGCGCTTTTGTTGTTTGCATTTATCATTTGTGCATTGTGCATTGTGTTTCATATATATATATATATATTTTTCTATGTGCCTATGACGCTTGTATCTTTTGTGAGTGCGTATCTGTGTATCTGTATCTGCCGCATGTATCTGCATCTTTTGTTGTTTGTAATTGCCGCCAGAACCGCGCTGACAGTTGCTGTCAGTGTCATAATCAGGCGGCAACACTTCAGCCACAGCCTCAAGATTGACCATTAAATAGGCCCGATATGGCCTTCAGTTTCTCGATGTGACATTAAAATATGTTGGTTTAATTCAATTTCATAATTAAATTCAATATCTTGAGCTTCACTTTACAATCAATATCCTCTATGCAGACATGCAAATTGTGCTCCATCTTAAGTCGGGTTTCTAGCGGAAGCCCCTTTCGAAATGAGATAGAAAACACTCAACCGCAAGCCATACAAAAATTGGTTAAAGGGGCTCCAGATTGAGGCTAAAGGGCAGAGCTGTCAAAGGGCCAAGCGAAGGCAAACAAAGATGAGCAGCAGGAACAACAACAACAACAACAAAGGTTGGATAATTGCAAGGTAGACCGGTCTGAAGAGAGGAAGAGAGCGAGAGAGAGAGAGAGAGAGAGAGCGAGGTCAGACTTAGCGCAAACGTGATGTGATCTACTGCGAGTTTCAGGCCCAGATTCTTGGCCAGTAGCCAGCAAATTACCAAATCGTGCATTAAAAACAAAAAAAACAGCTCCAAACAGGAAAACGACAATTTTGCAAGCGGGAAACCGTTTAAGCCAAAGCCGGCCGAGCCGACAAACAACACAATGGAAAAGGGGGTTGGAGAGGCAACGAGTCGTCGAGTTCAATGCGAAACGAACCCGCATCAAAGCACAAATGTCAAGTTGCTTGTTATTATACCCTACAGATACCCTACCCAAAAAGGGGTATATGCCAGTTGTGTATGTAACAAGCGAATAGAGGCAAAGTGTAGCCACAAGGGTATCTATTAACAGGCAGCTGGATGCAAAGTCTAGCCCACATTTGATTACACTTTCATTTATCGATAACTTTCCGGTATTATGTTAATATCGATAAATTTCTAATTTGAATCGAGGCTTTTAAGCATTTATTTCTCGTACAGTTAAGAGATCAATCAAATTTGTTTATACCCACCCCGTTTCTGAGTACAGGGTAGCTGCTAGTCGAGTGCTCTTGCTTGTATTTCTTGCTATTGTGAATGCGTTTTTGTTTCAACTATCTACGCATAATTTTCCGCCCTATTTACGTTTGATCTGCTGCTGCTGCGGCTGCTGTCTGCGCTGCGAAGTCAACGTCCCAATGCGGTTTCCATTGGCGCCCCGAGATTTGCATCTGTTGCGGCGGAAGCTGCTGCCGTTGCTGTTGTTGTTGTTGCTGTTGTTGCGATCCAAGGGCTGTGCCTGATACGGCAAATAGATTTGTGTACACGTTTAGTTGCATGCCGCACGTTCAATTTGGTTTCTATTACAGGAAGTGACTTGACAGAGTTCGTCTGCAGAGAGACTCTATCAAGGGGCTGCCCATAGAGACTATTCCTAATTGCGCCCCCAAGATGTGCGCACACGCACAGCTTAGCTGCAGTGCCTGTTTCTTTCTTTAGGCTGCCTGTAATTATGCGTGAATGCGTGGCGAGAGTTGAAATGTTATCGACATCGTGCCAGGGCAACACTTGCGCAGACTTAAAAAGGGGAAAAGCCATTTGATAAGTGTGGCTAAATCTTGAGCGAACGTACTGCTGGCAGGGCGAGCTCAATGCAAGAGCATATGCCCAGTTCTATTGAATTTTGAAATGAAAATAACAGTGTCACTTTAACAGCATATTGTTAACAGCATAATAGGAACAAATAATTATTAAGAGCGCTCTCTTAACAGCATCACTTTAACAGCATACTGTTAACAGCGTCAGTTAAACAGCACATAAACAGCATTTTACAGCGTCCTTTACACCGCATTCTTTTGTAATCATCAAGTATCAATTTCCAAGTATATTTAACAGCGTTAGCTTCACTACATAATATTAACATTACTTTAACAGCATCAGCATCATAACAGCGTCTCCTCAACAGCGTGCGGTTTATAGCATTTCTTTAACATTTTCTGTTGCACTCATTTCATTTTGTATAAATGATTTCATATTAATTACTCGTATCTTCTTCATCTATGCACATCCATGCACACATTTGACATTCTAATCTAGTGTTATGCTCTGAGACAGCCCCATCACATGGCCCATCCGGCTGGGAGTATACAAATATCTTGAAATATGCTTAAGTTTAACAGCACAGCACTAAAACCCTCCATAGCACTGAGGCATTCGGTTAAACAAACATGTTTACAGCCCATTGCGACAATACTTCTCAGTGCTTTAGCTGCAGCTGATTTATGGGCTTATCCAGCCAAGGGGCGGAGGTTAAAGGGGGGGTTGGGGTGATGGCAAGGAGGGGCCATTGTGAATGTAAATGTGAATGTGTCGCTGCAGCCACAAGGTAAACGATATACGGATGGCAAATTGAACGGCGCGCATCATGACTTTACACTTTCACCGTAAAGCAACAGCAACAACAGCTGTGGTCAACAATGAGACAGTCCCCACCCCCTGCCCTCGCTCCACCGCCCGCCCACTGTGAAACATGGGTTGCACAGGGCCAAGAGGGGGAGCGTAGGTTGTCAACGTTTGTTGTTATTGCTGTGGAAAGCGCTGACATCGGGTGTGTTTTCATTTTAGAAAATGCATTTAAAAAGCGAAAAGAACTCATCATTGATGCTGTTGATGATAATCTAGAGTCTCTTTTATATGAAATCAAAATCAAGCTGAAGCACATGCCCACGAATGTATCTTTATGCTCGTATCTATGTATCTATAAGCGCGTATCTATGTATCTGTGCATCTATGCGCTGCATTTTCTATGCGGCACATCGCGCTGAGAGCGGCATCTGTGTGTGCTCTGCTCTGTGCCGACGTCATTAACCCAAATTTCTATAAATAATATTTAGCAATTGG